ATGTTAATAAGCGTGCATTAGAACAGGGATGTCAAATAAGTTCCTCTTTCTTTCAGGAGAAAGAACTTTCACTAGACTTCTAGAAAAGAAAAAGAAGCAACAGTATTTCTTATTTTTCTACATAATAAGGAAATGCTGCTGTAGTAAATTAAACAAATATCAGCATGATTTAAATTGTAAGCTTGTTTGTTTTTGTAACTGTCCAGTGGGCCGGATTGGAATCTTTGCTGGGCTGATACTGACCCCCGGGCCTTATGTTTTACACCCCTGCATTAGACCTTAAAAATGCCCTTTTGTTCAGACAATTCGTTTTATTTTTACTTAACAGTTTATTCCATTTATGTTCTTATTTGAAATATTAAATATAAATATTTACAAATATTGAACCTCTCTTGACTTGAAAGGTTGTCGATGAGTACAACAGGAGAGAGCAGGAGATTAAACAAATGGAGAAAGAGCTGGAAGAGAAGAGCAACGCGCTGAACGCCTACCGACAGAACATATCTGAGGCGAGTGATGACCTGATTTCACAGGAATTGTCCAGTTTATCATTTGTTGTGTGACAGAATGGCTCTCGGGGTGTAATGATGTGTATATTTGGACTTTTTTTCTTCTGTGTCACAGGCTAAGGAACGCTGGCTTAATCCTCTGAAACATCTGGTTGAACAGATAAACGAGAAGTTCAGTGCTTTCTTTCGCTCCATGCAATGTGCAGGAGAAGTCGATCTGCATTCAGAGAATGAGGTAATCGCAGAGTCACAGCACACTGCTGAGGTCTCCCTTTGCATCACCTTTAACCACTTATGATTGAGCACAAGTTCATTGAAAACTGAATTTTGAATAGATATGGTAGGCTGTTTAACTGAGGGAAATATTAAACTGTATCTATATTTTTAACGGATGCATTAAAAATATAGATACAGTTGCCTTAGGGTTGCCAGAGGGTTGCCTTATTATTTTTCACATCACATTTCTTCATAATTCAGCATGAATTTAGTTTAACTGAATATATTAGTGTCCTCCAGACTTAAAAAATTTAACTTAAATTGTCCAGTTTATCAGTGGTAGGACAGTTATCTCTCGTGCAGTCGTACTCGCATCAATTCAGTAGATTTATTGATGATTAAATATCACTCGTAAAAATCGTATCCACTTTTTTGTGAGTGGATAAGACTTTTATGAGTGTCTTTAGAAACAAAAAAAAAGAGAATACTGGGTCTTTCCACTGCAGGAGGAGTACGACAAGTACGGGATCCGCATCCGGGTGAAATTTCACGCCACCACCCAGCTCCACGAGCTGACGCCTTACCATCAGAGTGGAGGAGAGCGCAGCGTCTCCACCATGCTTTACCTCATGGCCTTGCAGGAGCTCAACCGCTGTCCCTTCAGAGTGGTGGATGAGATCAATCAGGTAGTTCTTACACACAGTCTCAACAGTGCGACTGTATCAAAGGTGCACGTGAGCTGCAGGTAGTGTAATTATTAGGGAAACCCGGGTACGAGTTTCTCTTTACTGTCATGATTAGGCACATTTTCTTCTTTTCCTGCACACATTTACTTATGTGCAAACCACTTCACACAGACAGATTTGAAAAGAGCTCAGCTTATGTGCCGCTGCTTTCATGAAATTAACATTTTAACAACTTTAATAAATAGAACTCAGATCACGCCGACAGGCATTCACACAACATTAGTCATCAATTGCCTTTATTAAAGAGTCTGAGCCCACCTGTTTCTTTATGCAGGGAATGGATCCTGTAAATGAAAGAAGAGTCTTTGACATCGTGGTCCGCACAGCCTGCAAAGAAACAACGTCCCAGTACTTCTTCATAACACCTAAAGTAAGTGTTCTATGTTCATGCAGACTGCCTGACTGGAAGTCCCAGTGGTACCAAGGAGCTGTTTATGTGCCACTTTATGCCAAATAGTCAGACTGTTTGGACTAAAGT